TTAAAAACAATAAAACACGGTTTTTCGTTGGTTTCTAAGACCGAAATCTCTGTTTAAAACATATCGTCAACTTTGACATAACAGAAATAACAGTACATTTTAAAGGAAGATTTTTGTCTTAGAAACCTATGGTAAGTCTGTTGACATTATACCAGACCACCGAGTTCGATCCATTGCTTTAGCTGCACGAAGTTCCACGCCTATAGCTCGCTTGTACAGCAACAATATTCTGCACGATCCCACCGACTTGTTACTGTTAGTAGATCTAAATTATGTTACTGACGATTGACAATTGCATCTAATCATACGTACTGAGAATTGTGGATAATAATATAACGTAGGAAACGAGTAGATTTTTATTAGAACATTTGACAAAGATCTTTAATATCGATATGTCTTAATTTCTTTATTGTCCATAGTTCCTTCTAATGATTCCAATTTGAATATAAATGGTATTGTAAGATAAATTTATATTACAAATATTGTGTATGTCTCAATAATTACGTTAAGGAATTGGTAAGAGTGAGCGACGGGCCGCGTCCGCGAAATAATACCAGTACCACTCATCCTGATGAAGGGCCCCCGATGGGCTCGAAACTAGTCGGTGCCGCCACCGGACGTATATACGTGAGTGTTTAGCCGTGTTTATATATCAATTGGTAAGAGGTTTAACGTAATTACTTTGGGTAATCAGTTAATTTTCAGGTAGTTCAGTTTAGGAATCACTACTTATTTTTTTTATAATAATTTTACAATTTTTTTAGAATTTTGAAATTCCAGTTCTTTTTATTTAAATTTTGTCTTCTTTGAATTCCATTATGGTTTCCTCCAACTGGCGCTACAAAAGCCTTCCCCAACTACTCTTTATTGCTTCCGTCTGCAATAACTTATATGACAACGTATGTAAATAGCCACCAGTCTGACGCATCGTCGTAAATCTGACGCGCAACGAGGAGGCTCTATTTTATTGCCAATTGTTTACTTAATTGAGACGTGAATGTCTCGAAACGACCATTGAACATTGTCTTTAGTCGTTTAACAATGTAAAAGCTTTTGCTGAGAACTTAATACTTATAAAATAGACATTAAATGCAGAAAAAGTCACGAAGAAAAGTTACCTTTTATAGGTTTTCAGTGATTTTTTTTTGTATTGTAAGTTACAAAAATTGTATAACAAATAAAGTCATGAAGTTTAGTAACTTGCAATTTACCTAATTTGATTTAAAAGTGACGTAATTGTGTGCGTATAATTTAATAGAAAAATAATTAAAGTGTTCAAGTTTTTGTGATGGAATTAAATAAAACAAAAACTTAATTAATTAACAATGTCTTGTACAATAAAACGTTTTAGTTCACAGTTATCCATCACGTGTATTTTGGAGTTTTAGTCTATATACACGAATAAGAAAGTCGTAGTAGAATCGATTTTGATAATATAGTAGGTATATCGGTGTGTGGTCTGCCGTCACCAGCATTTACCGGCGGGTAATCACCGACGGCGTAATTATGGTTCCGCACCGAATAGTTGCCGTACTCTTGCGCCATCTGACGAGCGCGCCCAAAATGACTTTGTTTGCTGCATGACTTTCACAGAGATTAACTTGTCATTTGCTTAATCTAGCAACGTTACTTGATATTTGATTTCATGGAGATTTAAGATATTATCTACTTTTTATAGAATGAAAACGAGCAGGTGGGTCTCTGATTTTTATTTCCTCAGACGATCTACAAATTCTTAACTTTGGAATATGGTTTGGTTTGATTTAACGAAAATACTCAGACTTTTGCAGTGCGTAGCATTTAAATTAATTCAGTGCAAGTATTTAATTACAACTTCCCTGCATTTTTAACTGTGGAGGATCTTAAGGTGATTCTATCTGATTTATCTTTATTATCTTTTTTCTTTCTGTAA